CTTAACAAATCACACAGAATATTAGTGCATGATCGAGTTATATTTAGATCTAATGAACGCAATTCAACGTCTTGATGAGGTAATCTAAAAATAGCCTATTACCACGTGCTGTGGCGTGTAACATAGTTGATACATGCTTATTAATTGGTAGGAAGTATTTTAGTGCATTTACTTGTCCATAAAGATGCTATATAAATGAAATTAGCAACTGCCAAAACGAATGATTTCTCCTCGAAAAAAGTGGAAAAGAAATGTGCACACTTGTTTCCCTTCGGTACGATAGATAGATATCCACGTTAGTATTTTTACGATTGATTATTTTCTTTATTAGTTTTATACAATAGAGAATAGATTTCAAATCGTTTTGACAAAAAATATTCGTTTTTACAAAAAAAAACACTAAATAAACCCTTTATGATATACAAATACCGTAATTAAAAAAAATGTGATAATAAATTAAAAAAAAAAAAAATAACAACAATTTTTAAGGGTTGGGATTGAGCGCAACTGTGCAAGCCTTTCCTTTTAAAAGGAAACTTTATTAAACAGCTTAATTCTATGATGATTTCTTAAACGAAAATTTGGATTTAAAGTTGCATGCCTCCAGATAATGGAAAATATTTCAAGAAAAGCGAATTTGAGAAAAATGTACATGTACTACTAAGTTTTAAAAAAAATAATTTGTTTAAAGATGCATGTACATGTAATAATTTACTTTTTATGAGCTATTAATGACTGATTTTGCAGTATCTACCGACATATTTCATATTTCTACTGCGTGACTAACGCAATAAGGGCTATTTTTGCATATTCCGACTTTGTTTTGGTAATTTACAAGGATTGTAAGTGATTTTTGCAATGTGTAACTTTATTTCTTTGTTCATATCGCAATATTTTACTTTTAAAATAAATCACGAGATTTAGCATAAATCTTGAGGCATGCTGCTTTCAGACTAAAGTTTTTTGACATGTTTCAATATCTCTTTCAATATATTTTATTCTCCTTTTTTCTGGTTGTCTATTCATCTGCATTATTTTGCCATTGTTAATATTTTTCAGGTACGGATAGTTATGCTAGGAAACGAGCCCTACACCGACGCAACCCCTGTAAGTATATTTAGTCTTTGCACTGTAAAATCCGATAATTTTTCGATGCATTATTTTCGCTAATTGAAAATTTTGCGGAAATAAATAATTTCGTACATGTTGTACAGAAACGAAGTAGTAATTCGTGAAAAATTAACCTCGTCAGTCAGTCGGTACCTTTGTACTTAGATTTACACCACTAATTGGACATAAGGCATTTTTTAGAATAAAACACGTGTGCTGAGCATTGTTTGCATATTTATACATCTTTAAAGGCCCACTATGCCTCAGAAATGTTTTCATGTTTTCAAAAACTTTTTATTTTTGATGTCCGGTTATATTTTCAAACAATTAATCATTGGCCAGTTACATGAGCCATCTTTTTTCTTCTGTTGCTTTTTGACAATAAGAACAGTTACAACAATGTACAGTGATTTAGGACTTTGTACGGAAATCAAAATACTACTTTGTTCACATTTTGCTACTCAATTTTATGAAGAATAGTTTCATATTCAGCGCTACTTTTTTCATTTGATATGTTTCTAACATTGTCTTTAACCATTGACTGAACGTTATAAAACTCATATTTGACCTTTCTTTAGAAGGAAATTTTTTTTTCTGAGGCATAATGTGCCTTTAACAAAGCGAACTTCTTTTCAAAATAACCCCCTCGAAATGTTATCATGTGTTTCTTTGGCATAATGTGCCTTTAACAAAGCTAACCTTTTTTGAAAATAACATCTAGAAAGGTAATCATGATGATTGTACTATTTTATTTTCAGATTTCTGATTATTCACAAACCGTTCCAAAGGCGAATGGCTTGGCGTTTTCAGTGCCGTTTGAAATGTCGACAATACCACGCACTTTGCAAAACATTTATAAGGAACTGGTGCACGATATAGGCTTTCTAATACCAACACATGGCTGTTTGGAGAAGTGGGCACAAGAGGGCGTTCTTCTCCTCAATGAAAAACTTACCGTGAGGCAAGTAGACAACAATACTTTACTCTTTAAGCCGCATGACTCCAGAGCAGCAACATTGTTTCACGAAAATTAAACTTGAGAAAAAATGAACAAAGATTTGAAGAAAAGTAAAAAGATTCGAAATTCAAGTAATTAATAAATTACACGTTATGTGAGATTAATGACTGATTTTACAGTATTTATCACCATATATCTACTGCGTTACTACCGCAGTATATAGGACTCATAAGTTAGGACTTCATTCTGACTAGGTTTTATACTATCTGGGACAAAAAAAAACCTTTTCTGTATTTTTGTCTCGCTAGTTTGACAATCTTAACAATGACAATGGACAGTTCTACCCCCTCCGACATCTGTGGAATCTACTTCCGGATTTTTTCATGACAGAAAGCTACGCTGGTAGCTTACAGCACATGGGTGGTTTTGGATAAAGTCGTGTCCTTTAGAATAGAATAAAGTCGTGACACCTTTGTCAAAGTGTGGTGAATGCCTACAATGGTTGTTGAGATTTGAAGTTTGAAAACCTTGGTGATGGGCCGTCGACGAATGTGGATGGATATACTCGGGGTCCAACTATCCTTTAATATTTTCCATTCAGAGAAGAGCAAACAATGTACATGGGTCCATGTTTTGAAAAAACGATATCATCGGATTACCTAGATAAAACAAGTGCAGTTGTATGTTCTTTTAGAAACGTATAAAATAAACAAAAAGAGCCGAAAGAATAAAGTAAAACAAGAAATAATCTTCATATATTTATCTTTTCCAGAGCTTCGATGCCAAGGTCCCACGATAATATTGGCTGGCAGACATTTACCGACAATGTTATCAAGGGCGTAAGCGACAATCTTAGTCACGTGGTGTTCTTGTTATGGGGAAACGCGGGAAAAAGAAAAGAAGGTCTCATTGACGACAGCAAGCACACAGTCATAAAAACGGACCATCCTTCAGACAAACAGGGAGATTTTCACAATAGTTGCTGTTTTTCACAGAGTAATTTTGCCTTAGTAATGAAGGGACAGCATCCGATAGACTGGACACTACGACAAGAAACTTTTGATAATGTTTTTATATGAGGTCGATATCTTTCTTGATTGTTATCAATTATCTAACACTGTACACACAACTGTACATATATTGTTATCAAACGTTCCAAAATTATTGGAGTTTGTCAGACATTTTTGTTTGGAAAATCTAAATATTTTGTCCTTAGGAAAAAAAACATACAGCAGATTCGTTTGGCTAAATTTCAACCTTTATAGAAATCTCTCTTCATCTTAGATTTATGTCAGACGCTGACAACATCTAGTCGGTCAGCCGTTTCAAAAAAGTAACCAAATCCGCACGAAGTTTGTGTCACGGGTTAGACGTCACTCAGTCAACTTTCTATGAAAATATAGATATTTTTGTTGCTTGATGGTAGTAATTACTAATTAGTTGACTTGTAAAGTGTGTCCGACGTTAGATGGAAACGCAGACGTCCCGGCAACTCCCGCGAAACTAGATTTTCAATATCCCTGTGCGTTTTGCTTGCCCGTACTTGCTTATCAAGATAATACCACATTTCATAATGATTTCTTTACATACTACAATGATATCAACCTTGTATGTGTTCAACATAAAATTCATCAACCAATCGTATTTATCATTCATATTCACTGTACAAATGTATTTATTTTGAGCACAAAAATGCAACCAAAAAACAAAAAACGATTGACGATCAATTGAATAATTTAGATTCATCAATCAACAAATGCCTCGAGTCTGGAATTGGGTTGAATAGTGTTGTTATTACATTACAATATTTGTAACACATATGTTTCCTTAATAATCTAATGAAAATAGCTTATCAAAATAAATTTTAAAGTGTAAACCTGCTTTTTTTTCTTTTATACAGATATACATCTTGTACATAGCATAACACTAAATAGCAAGTGCATTATTCATGATGGGACACCTTGGTTGCTTTTCTTGTTTGAGTTTCACTCGGACAATTAAAAGGTCATTTCTTATAAAAGACACCAGCTCCGATGTAGAACCATTTTTTTTAATGTCGCCGCCGGAAAGCCCATATGGGCGACCGTACACTCAAGTCGGGCCATTCTAGAGCGTCCCGCCGAGATTTTTCTTCATTTTTTCCAGCTTTATTGGTGAAGATCCCAGGTGCCCCTCTGGGCATTATTTCAGACACGAGCGGGCACTTGGGTAGAACTACCGACCTTCCGTAAGCCAGCTGAATGGCTTCTTCACATGAAAATTTCGACCAGAGTGAGGATCGAACCTACATAGGTGAGGGACCTGTGATCTCAAGTCAGCGACCTTAACCACACGGCAATATGGTTGATTCCGGTGCCGATCATAAGTAAAACAAAAACCAAAGAGGCCAACTTTTTCGTTGAGAGTCATGACAACAAAGTAGAAATAGGATACCACTTTCACTCATGATTTAAACCTTTTGTATAATAGACCCGTCCTTCATTGAACAATTTAAATCACAAGTATATTCTAAAGTAAAGAATCCGATTATATTTCACAAATGTTCAGGCAATCTTTTCCTCTATAATGATGATACAGGAAAAGTCATTGGCACAACCAGCTTTCAAATAGCGAACATTTGCGTCCTTATCTACTCGGCCAGGAGCCAGCTACCATCTCCATACCCAGGTATGTCCTTATCCAATGGGCCAGGAGCCAGCTCCCAGGTATATAAATAGATTGGAGAGCAAAAACTCACAAAAGCTAGTCCTCCATTCTATCCTTATACATGTAGTTCTAATACATTCTACATATTTGACACTTCTAACCATTTTGGATATTTTTATCATAAATCTATAAACCTTTTCCTGACTAAATTAAATTTACATAGGACAAGCAATGTCATCAAACTTATTTGCAACAGTTTCAAAAACAACAATTCCAAATTTATTTGTTTTTCTTTTTTTATTTATAAATATTAAGAACTGAATTTATTCTGCAAGTAAAAATATGAAAGACTTAACAATTTTTTTCAAGTGTTTCTAAAAATTTATATCTTTCATTTCAAGACAAACAATGTTTAAATGAAATACAAGTTTAAGAAATTTTTCAAGTTATTCATAAATGTCCAATTAGAATACCACTGTTCAGTCAAACCTGAAAACAAAGGCCACCCAAAAGAGAGACAGAACATGACCCTTATACAGACAAGTGGAGAGCTGTTGAATAATGACCTTTATTTAAGGGACGGTCTTTATTTTGGAGAAAGTCTTTAACAAAGATTTGACTGTATTTTTTACTCTAAACCGGCTGGAACCAAAAGTTATCAACCTTTGCCATCAGTACAGAGCCAGGCTAACTGTCACATCCATGTGAACAGGCTCTATACTGATGACAATTAAATGCCAGACAAGTACAAGTATATTCAGCCTGTTCAGGGTTTAAAAAAACCATCTCTAACATCAAAAGAATGCTCAATAATGTTGTACTGTCAAAGCTTAAAATAGCCTAACAATAAAGAAAATTCTATTTTTAGCCCCCCCGTGACCTTTCATTCAACCATAAACTGGATGCTGTATGTTTAAGATATAAATCAGTAAACAAAGGCTTTATAGGAAAATAGTGAGGCTAAAAGAAGTTTTGGAGCACCTCACTACAAACAATGCACTAAATACCCTATTTCCTGACAAGGCGCTAAAAATGATATAATGCTTAAATATCTTCTATTCGCCTGCTCAAATGCTCTTTAAGACCTCTAATTCATCTTTTCATACCAATGTATATTACGATAATCAATGGAAAATGTAAGAATCAGCAGAAAAAGCGATATTTTTCTATTTTGTGATCATGATTTCTGCAAGGTACTGCTCAACACTGTAGTGAGTTAAAACCATGAGAAACTGATGTCTGACTGAATGCTTGACATTTCTGGACGTATCAGCAAATACTTGGTTGAACCAAATAATTCCCAGGACCATAAATATTGATAAAAAATTTATATGAAATTGGGACTTAATCTGAACAGAATAAAAAATTGCATAGTATAAAAATATAAGACCTATAAGAAGAGGCAAATCTTAACAATTTGTAAACAACTGTTCACCAAATTAAGCATTATCTTCTATACATCCAAGTGTATAGCAAAATGTACACATGTACAATACTGGTTCATAAGGACAAAATTCAACAATAATTTACAATTTAGCACTTTAGAAATCATAAAATAACATAACAATTTCATTTTCATGAGTTTTACAGCTTTAACATTAATGAAAAAAAAATTGTTAATCCAGGTTGCATTCCATCGAAAGACCAAAGTGTATCATAAGCCCTAGGATGTAATGCAACCTTTAGGACCCACTTAAGACCCTTTCAATAAAACTTTTTTTTATCTTTAATCAAAGACTGAAAACTTTCAATAAATTTCTTCCTGACAAAAATTAAGAAGTACAATTGTGCGCACTGTAATTCAGAATGTGTAAAAGTTCATCTACATTGTGATTCAGAACTTGACGGAGTCATTGCATTGGACTGATAACATAGGACATTTGTTTTCGTCTTAAAGCTGATTTTGGATAGAGGACTTTCTATGAAACACAGCCTTGTCCTGTAATTATAAGTGAGATACCATTATGAATACGTTTTTTCACTTTCGTCATCTATCATATTCACATTTTACATAAGCTGAAACCTTTTGATACAAAGCAAACAATACATTTCAAGCAATAATTATCAATACATATATGCAGTTTTGTAATTGAATGTTACCATGAGAATACATTCGTGGTATCATTTATTAAAATGCCATTTTAGGACTCTACTTATACTCAGCTGTTCAGTTACGACTTGCTGTAAAGTACAATTTCTATGAAGTCAGAATACCATGTTGGAACTATACTTCACTTAAGAATGCCAAAAGTCGAATTATCATGTTAGAACTGTACAACATATTCCTAAGTAAGCAAAATGCGATTTGTTTTATACTGAAGCAACATTGTAATCTTAATAAATTTTCAGAATACTCAAATTCAGAACTGTACCGCAAAGTATTTCCTTATCATGCATTAAGTCAAATTATCATTTAAGAACTATTTTGAAATGTTGTAACAAAATTTGCAACTCCCTTTTTTTTTTCAAAATACCCAAAAGTCAAAATATCTTGTTGAACTAGAGACAGTCAAGTATTTTTAAAGTAAACCTTAAGTCAAACTGTAATGTTGGACCTATCCTACTAATATTAAAAAAACTTATACAATCTCATTTTTTTCCCCAAAATACTCAAAAGTCCAATTATCATGTTGGAACTATACAGTACAGTATCTCATAAGTATGCCTGAAGTCAAATTGTCATGTGTGATCTATACATAATTTCCCATTATTTGGTCGATTCTTGTTGTTCAAAGATTGGGTAATTGTTGAGAATGTCATCCCAGGTACGCCTGTGATTGGCTAAATCGTACACAATCTGTGCAAGCTCTGAGATCTGAAATAAAAAAATATTCAATCCTTAAAGAATAAGTTCTAAGCACGACCCATTCACAGCTTTAATAACAGTCATAATTAAAGCTGTGACAAATTTTAAGCTACCAAATTTTTGCACAAAAAGCATTCAACTTTTTTAAGTTCTCATTTCAATTATCTTGTTTGGTTTAAACACATTTATTTAAGCTCGATTGCGGAACAAGTTCTTGCAACTTATATTAATCACTTTTGAGTCCGCTTCCTGGAACCAACAAGTACTGGTGTCAAATGAAGAAACATGGTCGTGACCAGATTATGGCTCGAACCCATGATCTTATTTCATCCTAATGAACTTTCAACTTATCACATCTAATGAATTCCAAAATATGAAAGGCTAGTATTAAGTCACATTAGATTTTGTAAACATGTCACATATTTATAAATAAATCTTATGTGCCAAAGAAAAATCAAATCAATTTTAATTAAAAATATTTTTTTTTCATTTTTAAAAGAAAAAGTCAATTGGAAACATGTCAATAGGACATAGAAACTCCCATATGTCATTGCTTTGTCAGTCTAGGTACAGACAAGGTGAACAAATCTTTCTGCATTGCAACTCCCTTAAATGTAAGCATCAAAATTACGGCTTTTCAAAAACAAAACAATTATCAATGCATTGCAAGCAACTTTTTTTTAGAACTTTTTGCGTTGTCACAGGATCCATTATTGGACGGATGAAGGGATAACTTTAAGTCCACTCCGGTTAAACCTGTACCGGACTAATCAAGATCTTAAGTGTAAGGAAAGTTACAACTTACCGGTGCCCTAATTTGCTTCATTGACTCTCGCTCTCTAAGTGTCGCAGAGTGAGGTTCCTTTATGGTATCAAAATCCACTGTGATACCGTACGGTATGGCAATGGCATCGGTGCGGGCGTACCTACGACCTATCGAACCGGTGCTGCTGTCAACCTTGTGCGATATATCACATTTCAGCAGATCCTTAGCTGTAATAAATAAAAGATGGATAGTAACAGAAGGTATCCAAAGAAGAAAAGAGAATGGGAGACTACTCTTGTATGATGATGAGTTTTTTTCTGAGAATTCTATGTTGAAAATTTGGTACAATTTTACTAAAATCCATGACAAACGGCCTGTATTGTTGCCTAACATTCGGGGTGAAAGTTATAAGAGTTTATTTTAGGTTATGAAACAATTACTAAAAAGTGTGAAGAGAAAATGTCATGGTGAACACTGATCAAAGATATTTCTATTCAGCAATATGAAAATGTCATGAAGGTGACTTGAACACTCATGAAATGTACTTCTTTTCTTGAAACAGTTTGGTTTACATTGTATTTACATTAGACATTATACTGGTTTATGATGTTTATGTTTGAAATCTGTGTTCTTTTTCAGTAAATCCATGTTTATGTCTAAATCAGTAAATCGGATCCATGCTTTGTTATTTGTTCTTTGTATAAGAAAAATATGTTGTCATGCTCAATTCCTAAACATTGAAACTCCAAACTGGTGTTAAATAGTTGATAAACACCACTCAGACTGATATTATTGAATATTCCTTAAATACACAGTGACAGGCAGGATTTATCAATTTCATTTACAAATTACGCAGAAAGTTTTCATAATACTTACCAAGTTGGTTAACAAAGGGCATTAACTGTGCGTTGTTACTCAATGGCAGGACTGAACACTTGTAGGGCGCAATTATTGGCGGCAGTGATAAATACTGAAATAATTAAATCATACATTATATATACTGAAATAATATAATCATACATATAAATACTGAAATAACAAGAATTTGTAACAGTTACCAACGTCCCCCGCCTCAGGGAAGTTTTATATGAAGCATAAAATCAATGCTAGATCTGCAAATGCAACAATAAATTTATTAAAGAAATAAAATGAAACACTGAATTTAGAAATCTATCATGTTAAGCTTTGACCTCTAAGTGTGGCCTTGACCTTGGAGGTAGGGACACTGGTGTTACGCATGACATACATTTTATCATTGTGAATATTTGTGCCGAGTATTTTCAAAATCCCTTGATCTATGAAGAAGTTATGGATGGGACACAAAATATACCATATAACAGACTCTGTTATTTTGACCTCTAAGTGTCACCTTGACCTTGGAAGTCGGGGTGCAGGTGTTGTACTTGACATATGGTCTTATTATTGTGACTTTTTGTGCCAAGTTATTTCAAAATCCCTTGAACTATGAAGAAATTCTACATTGGACACAATATATACCCTTTAAAAGGCTATGTTAACTTTTGACCTCAAAATGTGACCTTGACCTTGGAGGTAGGGATGCTGGTGTTGCGCATGACACATCGTCTTATTATAGTGACTATTTGTACCAAGTATTTTCAAAATCCTTTGATATAAGAAAGAGTTATGGACCGGACACAAATTATACCCTATAACAGACCATATTAATCTTTGAACTCCAAGTGTGACCTTGACCTTGGAGGTTGGTGACCGATTGTTGCGCATGACACATCATCTCATTATTGTGAACAATTGTGGCAAGTATTTACAAAATCCCTTCAAAGATAAGAAAGTTATAGACCGGACACGAGATATACCCTCAAATAGACAATGTTGACCTTGAATGAGCAAGTGCGACCTTGACCCTGGAGGTAGGGGTCTGGTTGTTGCGCATGACACATCGTCTTATTATAACAAACATTTGTGCCAAGTTATTTCAGATTCCTTCAATAAATGACAAAGTTATGGACCGGACACAAAATATACCCTGTAACAGACTATGATAATCTTTGACCTCCAAGTGTGACCTTGACCTTGGAGGTAGGTGACCTGTTGTTTCGCATGACACATCTTCTCATTAATGTTAACAATTGTGGCAAGTATTTACAAAATCCCTTCAAAGATAAAAAAGTTATGGACCGGACACGAAAGTGTGACGGACGGACAGACGACGGAGCCTATTTCTATATCCCCCTTTTTTCTTCGAAAAGGCGGGGGACAATAAAAGTGACATTAGGCCTATACAAGTGTAAATGCAGTATAAGTCACGTGGTGACATTCCAGTTTTACTGATGGAGGAAGACCTCAGATGACCTTTTGTGCATTATTTCAGGCATGAATGGTCACCCAAGTAGAACCACCAATGTTTTGTAAGCTAGCTGGATAGCTTCCTTATATGAAAAAATCCAAAGTTTCTCTTGGGAACAACCTAAACCACTCGGCACCGACACCCCTTTGTAAACTATTATAATTACACAAACATATAGATATATAAAATTGAGCCGCGCCATGATAAAACCAACATTATGCGTTTGCGACAAGCATGGATCCAGACCAGCCTGTGCAGTCTGATCAGGATCCATGCTGTTCGCTTACAAACTCTTTAACAAGTAGAGAAACTGATAGCGGCTAGAAAAACGCAAGTTTTGTCAAGGCGCAGCTCATATAAAGATAGGTGTATACCGTTCTCTGCTCATCCCCTTCTCTCATTCTAAAGTTATGTTCAAACAAGGCATACATAACTCTGCCTATACCAAACGACGGCTCTATCACAGATGGGTTAAAATCTTCAACTGTAAAATAAAGTGGATGTACAGTTTATACAATAATGAAGAAACAGAAACAAGTCCTATATTACGATATGTACCTCAATGTAACCAAGCCAACATAATAATAGCATAACAATATTGTTACCAAGTAAAATGAAAATAAGAAATAAGCACAATTATTTTATTAATGACAGCTTTTTTGTAAAACACAGCAAGGAATGTAACATAATTCTGCTAAGGGAATAAGACAAGCCTTTACACCCTTGTCTAAACAAAATATTCCTTCTTCACTTTATACTGTTTGGCTAGAGAAGTAGCAAGGTCAGTCTGCCTATTAAGGTAAGTTTCCAGTTTTAATAGTCTGAATTACAAGCAGGTACCTGTGTATAGGGGTGTCAAGCTTTTCCGTATAAAAGGGTATGGTTGTGTTTTAGCTACAACCTTGTTAGAAAATTAAATAACTGGTAACCGAGGTTAGTATTTGACTATGGGGGCGGAAAGTCTTTAAACTGATTCTATATATGACCTTAGTTTTTTATGACAAGATATGTCAATTGTTTGTATTTTAGTTGTACTCAATAATGTATTTTTTCTGATCTGATTAAATATGGTATGACCGCTCATTTTGAGTACAACAAAATATGAACAAAATGGCATATATTGTAACAAAGAAACAAAGTTAATGTTGAAAATCTTAAGGATTTTTTTAGTATGGTCAGTTAAACCTAAACACGGTAATTACATGACCATTTAATTAAACGGCAAGCATTTTTTTCTATCCGTGACACCCCTACCTGTGTATAACAACTAACCTTCAATAAGCTACTTGGATAAATTCTGAACATCCCTATTGGGATTCAAACCTGCACCAGCTAGGGGACAAGCAATTAGTCTAGCCGAAAGTCTTAACCACTTGTTTCACAAAAACATATTCCCGATATACAAACTATTAATACTGGCATACAGAAGTGGTATATTTCTACGAGAAAAACAACCTACCATGAACTGTTTTTGAAAATTTATTGACTGTAACCATATCTGATTTCACAACAAACGATTGGTCATTTGGTTTGATTTCAAATTCTCTGTAAAAGAAACAACAACATGATTTAATACTTTGATATGTGATATCTTTGATAAATATTTTCTAAGATGTTTATGTTTTAAACTCATATCCTGCATGATTAGCTATTATCATCAGTAGTGAGTCTGACTAGCCTCCTACTGTTGGTAGTTCAATTTTAGTATTTTGTATTTGAATTTGAAATCCCTTCAACTTTGAATGGACTGTCCCAAATATAAAGTGCGTAAACTTATAATACAATTTTAGCAGGTTAAAGGTTAATTACGACTATGAAATTTAGAGACTGTTTCAAGATTACTTACCCTTTCTCCTTGAGTATTTTGTCCATGGCATCAAGCTCATTGTCTTCCATTCTAGTTATGAAGTCTGTAACAACCTTTGCATCTTTCTTAAACACTTTGCCCATCACACCTTTGTTCACTTTACATTCCACTACTTCTATTGTTTTGTGAGTGAAGTTAAGGATAATACAGTACACATGCTGTTTATTAGGCATTCAAGGGGGTCAGTGGCTGACAGGTTAAAAATCCTTGACCTTAAACCACTTGCCTCTCACCATACTGGGTTCGAATCTCACCAGGGACTTTGGATTATTTAATGTAAGGAAGCTATCCAGCTAGCTTATTAAACGTCGGTGGTTCTACTCAGGTGCCCATTTGTGCCCGAAATAATATATGAAAGAGCACCTCAGGTATTCCTTCACCAGAAAAGCCAGAACATCGCCAAGTGACCCATACTGTGTTGGTGTGAGGTAAAACCCAAACAAACAATTGGGCATTCAAACACTGTAAATATAATAACTATTTAAAAGTGTTATTCAGAATGATATTGCTCATGTAATACCACTTACATTACCTTAGAATATGTAGTTAAAGTTCACAGTCACTAGTGTATAAATGTAAAAAGGATATGGGTTTGTCTAACTTTCTCTCAGCTACAAGTTTTAGACCAGTGGCTTTTTGGTGACACATTAAATCATAACAAGATCTATCTGCACATCCAACACACTCGATCCAACCCTGTACAGAAAATAACAGAAGCATTAAATTATATCTCATATAAATAGGAGTGACATAATAAATGATAAACAAGAGGGCCATGATGGCCCTGAGGTCGCTCACCTGTATATAGGCCCCCGGAGCGGGGCCAATTTAAACCACAAGGCTTTTATTTGAACAAACTTGGAAGACACCAATTAGAAGATGTTTCATGATGTAAAGTTTTTACTACACACATATAATGAAAAACAATGACCTCCGCCCCCCCCCCCCTTTGGCAGGGCCAATTTAAACCCAAGGGCTTTTATTTGGACAAACTTGGTAGACACCAACAAAAAGATGTTTCCTGCTTAAAATCTAACCTCTAGCTCATTGGGTTTTTTAAAAGAAGATTTTTTAAGTTTTTACTTTACACATATAGTTAAAAACAATGACACCCCTGGGGCGGGGCCAATTTTGACCCCAGGGCTTTTATTTGAACAAACTTGGTAGACAACCATTAGAAGATGTTTCATGCTAAATATCTTAGCTCTAGCTCTTTGGGTTTTTTAGAAGAAGATTTTTTAAGTTTTTACTATATGCATATAGGGAAAATCAATGACCCCCTGGGGCGGGGCCAATTTTGACCCCAGGGCTTTTATTTGAACAAACTTGGTAGACACTCACTAGAAGATGTTTCATGCTTAATATCTAAACTCTAACTATTTGGGTTTTTTCAAAGAAGATTTTTTAAGTTTTTACTATACACATATAAGGAAAATCAATGACCCCCGGTGCGGGGCCAACTTTGACCCCAGGGCTTTTATTTGAACAAACTTTGTAGACACCCATTAGAAGATGTTTCATGCCAAATATCTAAGCTCTAGCTCTTTGGGTTCTTTAAAAGAAGATTTTTAAGTTTTTACTATATGCATATAGGGAAAATCAATGACCCCCTGGGGCGGGGCCAATTTTGACCCCAGGGCTTTTATTTGAACAAACTTGGTAGACACCCACTAGAAGATGTTTCATGCTAAATATCTTAGCTCTAGCTCTATGAGTTCTTTAAAAGAAGGTTTTTTAAGTTTTTACTATATGCATATAGGGAAAATCAATGACCCCCTGGGGCGGGGCCAACTTTGACCCCAGGGCTTTTATTTGAACAAACTTGGTAGACACTCACTAGAAGATGTTTCATGCCAAATATCTAAGCTCTAGCTCTTTGGGTTTTTTAAAAGAAGATATTTAAAGTTTTTTCTTTTGGTTGCCATGGCAACCAGAGTTCTGCATGGAATTAAATTCTTTGAACAATTTTTAAAGGTGACCACCAAAGAACATTCCTGTGAAGTTTGGATGAAATTGGCTTAGTGGTTTATGAGGAGATGTCATTTAAAGTAAAAGTTTATGGACGGACGCCGGTCGGACGGACGCCGGACGAAAAGCGATCACAAAAGCTCACCCTGTCACTTTGTGACAGGTGAGCTAAAAATGATTTTGGTTTTGAAATGCATATCCTAAACCTCTGAGTACTAGCCTATATTAAGTTGTCAATGTATTTTTTAATAAAGTTCATATCCTAATAGATCAAATCTAAGTGGTTAAGAAAGCCTCACAGTTTTGGCCAAGTTGTTACTATGATTGCATCTCGACCCTAAAAAGAGCTCTTTTAGGGTCACAGCCTTGTTTCCTCATATGACACCAGTACTGAAAATATGAGATCTGAGACAGATTGCAGAAAAATGTTTTACAACCTGAAGGCCTGGTGTGACATACAGAAACATGGCTGTGACACCATCACGGCTGGAATCCAACATCCAAGAGTTGAGAGAGTCACTGACACCTCTCCTTACAATGTATTAATTCCAGTCACACACCGAATTATGAGTATTCTGTAAAGCAAGCAGTACTTCTTTTTTTCACATACAAGAGTTCTACATTGACTAAACCTGTTAAAGGGTGGAAAAAATACACAAAAATTTAAAAAACTTACATAGGATGTCTTCAATTCAGCATCCCAGCAGTCACAAGCATAGTGAGCCATCTCATTGGACAGATGCTGCCTGAATCGTAACTTTGTCTCGTCCACGCCAATCTTGATGAGGAACAAGTTAATACGTGCCATAAAATATGCTAAAGTCTCGTTGGCTATAGTACCCTGTAAAATACAACATATTCATAAGATCAATTCATGAAATTTAAATTGCACCTACACTGTGAAATAGAGAATAAACGGAATCCCTAAAGGACACAAAAAATGGCAAAATTGAAAATATTGCAGGCTTGTTTTCATTGAGTCTGTTTATGGACATGCAAGTTACCGTTCACAGCCCCTTGCACTGGGTTAAGCAAAATTAACCATTTAAGAACTAAAATGGTGAAATTTGAATTTAGGAACATCAGAATTGGGTTCATACCGTAGTTATCATGGAACCTTCAATGTGACACAGTAGTGCTATTCCATGACAATCGAGGCATGGTCCCCAAGCAAAAGAATACTTAGTAAAGGTCATGTGCCAACTTCAAAATTTTGTGAGAAAAAATCTTGCAATTAAAAAAGACTCACGTCAGCAACGGCATCCTTGAGAGATTTGGCCTCCGGACCTTTACCATCCATCTGATTACAGGCAGAGAACAGCGTCAATTTGATATCCTTCACTGAATCAAATTTGAAGAATTTCTTTTTCTCTTGTGGGTCTACAAAGTATTCTATTTCAGCCATGGTGAATTCTCTGGAAATAGTATAATAGCCATCTATAATAAAACTTGCTCATAACATACTTTGCTGCATAATGATGCAATTTTCTAACACTAACCTTATTTATTTATTCACTTATATTTTACAGGTTTTCCCCAGGATTTTGAGAGCATTACCCATACCCATTGCATTGGGAATTTCAATGATGTTTTGTTGAAAAACCTGGGGAAAAATGCAGGACTTAAATTTTGCAGTGATTAAATGAATGCAAATAATCACTGTCTAGGATGATATATTCAATTATTTAAGCACCATAACATTGAAAAATCCCTAATTTTCAAAGATTTTTAGAATTTGTTATTCAAAATTTCTATCTTAGAGAAGAAATGTATGAAAATATTTTTTACCTCACTCTTATTAAGCCAGATCTTGGTGAAATTTCATTTCTGAAGGCACTGCCAATTTGTGCTCCACCGAAGGGAAGTTTACCACCATTAAACTCCAATAACCTCTTAAAGTTGACAAATATACCCTGAGCTGTTTCTGGTCTCAAATAACTGAAATGGAAATAAATAAAAATACAGAATAACATGCACAAATTTAATTGAGGGCAACAGAGAATAATTTTATATTTGCTACAAGTATTGATTTTTTATTACTTTGCTTTCTTACCAGTGCATGCAGGTTTAAAGTGTGTGATGTTAGTTCATATGAATTCTTAATCATGGTCTTCACTGTTTGTTATTTAGTTAAGTACATATTTTGAAATTTTCCCTAAAAAAGATAAGTGGTTTTATCCAGATTAAAAGCCTTCCAACGCTTTTCAATTTTGGTCAATGTTCACAGTAAAAATAGTTAGTTTGGAAAACCGGAGTCAGCGAATGAGCAGGAATTTAGCACACACGTTATTGGTCTCAATCTACATCAAATGGAACATTAATTTCAAAAATTTATTTCCAATCCCGTCATGTCAGAAAACCTTGGTGGAGTCCCTTTAATATTATACACACCCTTTCAGTGTCCCTGTGGGTCCGATGGATGTTGCAAACATGAGATTAAATTCCATTGGGTCCGATATATCGTTGCCAGTCACAGGTGATTTGATATTGAACTGTTTTAACGTTTTACCCATTTCATCTTTATCCATGTTGTCTATCTGTAAAAAAAATATTTAACCCTGATGAAGACTCAAGAGAATGAAAATGTCGGTTATCATCGTTAAATAAAACCTTAAAACTTATCCTGCGTTGATTGTTTATTCCACTTGTATTATTTTTCTAAGTGTACACTTTTTTTTTCATTCAGTATTTTGGGAACATGGTCTATACCCTTAGAGTTGGGAAATCTAATGGCGTTTTACTCAAAACTGGGAATAAATATGTAAGGTGGTCACCAATATAACATGTAATTCCAAGCCTTAAAACATTGTTGTTTATGTAATGTTTATAAAATCTAAGTTTTTTTTTCATGCAGTATCCTGGGAACATGGTCTATACCCTCACAATTGGGGAAATTATAATGGTGTTTTACTCAAAACTGAGAATTAATATGTAAGGTGGTAACCAATACAACATGTAATTCCAAGCCTTTAAACATTGCTGTTATTTCTTTCAAAACACCACATTTTACAATAATAACAACCATAAGTCCTACAGTTTTGTTTGAAGACTTTAGACACAGGATTCTGAAAATAATATACATACAATCTACAATATGATACACTAAGCTAATACTCAGAAAGTCTGATCTAATTAGATCAAATGAAGTAACAAGAGCTGTCGACTATTCTCAGTGCTTGACTAGTAAAACAAGAGCCTGGATAATGTAGAATTTTCCAAAAGGGTCAAAATCAATTTTACAGTCATAGGCCTAGGACAGTGACCTCCTATCATGCTGCCAAATAAATATGTGAAGTTTCAACACATTCTCTTCCACAGTTTGGGATACCAACTTGTACACAAAAACTTTAACCAAAGTGTGACACTGAGTATGAAGAATATAACAGCTTCCCTTATTCTTTGAATATTCAAGCTAAAAACTTATTATGTTTCAAACTAGACTTATCAAACTTACTGTTGGCAATATTTTCCGGATTTGTTCTTTTACTTCCGCTGTCACTTTTTTATCAGTTAACATCTTTTCAAATGAATCTGAAAAACAGATACTAATTTTAAATCTATAACAATTCATTTAAAAACTAAAAACAATGAATTTCATGAAAACTGAAATACCAATATGACTTTTAAGATTTCAGTTGGGTTTTTTCTAAAAAAAGAAAATTGTTTTTACACTTATTGTGATATCATTTATTTTCATAAATAGCTGTTTTACATAATTTTATTTTGTTGACGAAGGAGCACAAGAAATGCTAAGATAGGAAGTGAAACCACTAATACTGGCTAATTAGAATCTAAATTCACAAGGTACCTGCTAGACTCTTAAGAGTTACAGACCTTGGCCAGTGCCAATCAAATATGATCTGGAATATCTTAAGAAAAGAGAAAATATGCACAATTCAATAAATACTTTACATGTTATATTTTTCTACTGCAAAACTAACACAATAACTTACTTTCAATGAGATGGTCTGCCCTGAAACATTCTCCATTCTTGACATCTTTCACCATATAGTCCTGGAACCTTTCAACATGACCAGATGCCCTGAAAAAAATATAAATAATAAAAGTGAAATCTGGTTGTAGAAATTGAAAAAGGCATGATAATATTTTGAATTTTTTTTATTATTGGTTGTTAAAATTTAATATACATTCAGGGCTGGCAAAATTAGATTTTAAAGGATTTCTCATATGATAATTTATAAAGTAAACTCTGGAAAAAAATCATTTGTCAATACCAGCTGCCTGACAATCTAGGCAATAGAGCCTTTTAATTTTGAACTGAGATGTAATTATTGTTGTACTCATGAACCAGCATGCTTTACATTTTTTCCTAAAATAAAGGCTACATGATTCATGATTTTTACTCCACGTTATCAATTTCAGGAATACAATGATGAAAATTTAACAGTTAGCCAAAAGTATAGAGCTTGGTCAGACAGTAGACGTACACTGGCATACATGTAGCTCTTTACTGGTGGAAAAGGTTAAGATGGTGTTCTCATTTCAGCACTGTGAAGTTTTAAATCTTTAAACTTCATTTGTCAATCAAATTAATAAAATCAATTTGTATATCTTATTAAAACTTTCACTGTTACTTTTTTTACAACCACAGCTGTATTTAAATAATCAAAGGGAAATTGCCCGAGTGATTTCTAAACATTACAGGAATGCAGATAGATTTGGTAGGACAGCATGCTAGACTATTTTCTGCTTGACAGTAAGAGCCTGGATAATTGAGATTTTTTAAGGTTGAAAAAGGGCCGTAATTCTGTCAAAATCAATGTATAAGTTGTGGGCCTTAGACGGTGACCTATAAGGTTTTCAAACAAGTATGTGAAGTTTCAACCCATTCATTTTGGGAATTTTGTAGATACCACCTTGCTGCAAAAACTTAGACAAAATGAGACGCCAACGCCTTGGTGAGTACAATTACCCTCCCTATTTTTCAAATGGTCAAGCTGAAATGTTTTAAAAAAGCATTAATCAGATATCCAAAGACAGATACATCATCTTGTAGGCAAATGCATTGCCCTGCCAGCCAGGGTGAGTATATCCATCTTGCTGGCAACTAAAAGGTTAAGCGTGTAGGTAACCCACTTCTGACTACTTACTTTAACACAACCTCAGGAGTAAGCATGGCTGTGTCCACCTCCAGTAAATTCTCCTCCAACACAAAGAAGTTTCTCCATGCCTGTAGCAGGTTAGCCTTCACAGCACAACCCATAGGACCAAAATCATACAGTCCATTCACACCTGATTAATAGAAAATTTGGTAATGTTACTCCCTGAAACATACCTTCATTTCATAATATTATAAGACTAAATATAAAGTAAAAGAACTAATAAGCTTTTTCATTGTAAGTTATTGCTATACTTTTTTGTAAACATTTTAAAATAACATAATGCTAAGTTTGTGAAATGAAAATGTCTGGATTTAAACATTAAATAATGAGCTCCAGCCATTTTCAAACACCCCACAGCCATCTGGTTAGCTCAATAGGTAGACTACTAGAGTGTATGACTGTGACCTGAGTTCAATTCCTGCACGCTTCAGGTCATTTTGTAATGATTGATCATGTAATCCTTCTACAGTCTCTGCTCTGGCATGTACAGAAAGATCAGTACCATGCGGAAGTGAAGGCAACTAGCACAAGTTGGTAAACTGCTTGACAGCTTGCTCAGGAACGGTGCTGTGGCTGAACTGTGCTCTAGTAAATTCAATGTGGCTTACTGCAGTGATCCTGAGTGAAAACTACCAATACCACCACCACTATTCAAATACCAAATAAATATCAGTAAATATTCGTTACATTTTTGCAATTAAAATCACATACCTCCATAAATAGCAAATGACTGGTCGTAGAAAAATTTCTGTTTAAGTAGATCCTCCATCTTGCTTCTGTCAAAGTTGTCCTTTGGTGTCAACTCAATCTCCTGAATCATATAATAAGACTGTTATTATAGATAGTTATGTAAAACACAAAGAAATTTATTGTAATGTGCCTTTTATTGTACAATACAGTCGAACCTCGACAGAGCAGCCCTGTGCAGAATACTTACCACTTTACAAGTAACAAAAACATCTACCCAAAGTAATACTTCACTTTAAAGTTAACCACTTAAATAGAGCAACACCTCTCAGCTTCAAAATTGTGACTTATTATACATCTATAGGTATATAAAACATAGTCATTCTGATCCAATATTCTTCTGCCACCTGGCATTCTACCTTGAACATTTTATCTTTCTAAAGAACTTCTTCTACTATTACAACTGAGGACCTACCACATGCATATTAATTGTAACAATATCAGTGCAAGCACTGAAACAAACTAGCCATCATGACAGCTTAAACAAGGTTTTCAGCACACCTGACAAAAATCAAACATGGAAACTTTTAATTTTTAAGTCTGGTTGTACAAACCTTATGTTCCAAGGCATGTTTTCTCGTTTTCAGCTCAGCAACAGCTCTCTGTAGATCAATATCAGGGGCCTTATCTGCCTTCAGCTGACGAACAATGTCACCCTGTATAATAAAAAATTGATGTTTTATTGTTGTTCATTTGCATATTAAAAGATTATATATTGTTTAATTGGGATAAATTAATAAATGTGCGAAGCATTTGGATAAACCATTACAAGCCTGTCAGCACTGTCTACATGTATATATATAAATAAGACACATGGTGTCGGATTCCTGGCACATTACGACTGACTGAAGCGTACTTGCCCTGTTTAAATATAAAACAAGTACTACTAGAAAGGAAATCAAATAAAAACAATTTATAAGAAATAATGTAGATTTTTTATACCTATAAGTGAAATTTTCAAAGTCATATCTATTTGGCTTCGCCATTTTCAATGTAACACAATGATAATAGGCATTACTATAACGGAACAATCGCAACTTATCAGCTTCATTATAATATAATTATAATTGTTAAGGTGTGCCGAGTAAAAACGGAAGCGGTGCATGAAATACCGGATGACACCTTTATAACAGAAAATGTAAGACATAGGGGTCTATTGCTGGAGATTGCTCTTTTTGTGGGCAACATGAGAAGAATTACTTACATGTTTGATTCAACATTTCATAACTTTAAAACTACCGATCAGTGGCTAAGAAATCATACAATTTTCAAACCCAATACTCTAAGCAATTGCAATATAGAATACTTAAATAGAATCTGGTATACCTGTTCCTTCACAGCTTGTCTAAAGGGAGCAAGCTGTTCTTCAATTTTTGGATCCATAACGTCTATTTCCTTCAATACAAAAATGTTTCTGCTTCTTGGATCCCCACCCAGACACTGTCTTGATAAGGAGACAGTAGAAGAAATGGATCTATACAAATGTTCTGTGACAATGCAAGATTGTGTAATTCGCCTGCACAGCTGTTTGATCACAACTTGCATCAGCTTGACATCTGCCACGGAAGCCGGTTTTATGCCGCTAATCGAAAGGAACAGCAATGTGTTACTACGGTTCCGAAAATAGTATACCATACAAAAGTTACAAAGATCAAGTGTGAAGGTAATTTTATATATTTTAAAGATTTATTCTTAGCTATAGTCGATAATATTATTATCTAATTCATTTAATTGCGATTTTTATTGTCATTTTTTTTCATCAAATCCGAATTCCTATCAGTTTTGGTAAATTGGCTTATGGGTAAAATCCAATATGTCTGCGCCCATGGTAAACAACATGAGAGTTCAACAATTTTATTTTTTACTATTTTTAGACATTTGAATTACTACTGATATTTGTTAATATGTTAGGGCAATGTAGATATTCTTATTCCGTACTGAAATATTGTAAACAGAAACTGACATTTCTTGCAAACGTTACATAATTCTAGAAAAAACGCAAATTTCTTTCTGTTCAACAAGATGCACAACTGGTAGAAGAGTGCTAGGAATAGAGACAAGCTGTGATGATACTGGCGCTGCAGTAGTAGACGAATATGGAAATATCCTTGGAAATGCGCTTCAATCTCAAACCCAGGAGACTGTTGCGTAAGAACATATTTATACACAAATCTTCCACCTTGAATTTAAATAGCTGTTTTTTATACACCAATTGACAGTTTCCTAACTAGTAACTAGCAGACGACAGGCTATTCTTATCAGTAGAATTGCGAGTAAATATAACTGGTTGCGTATCTTACTGTATAAAACACATGTCAAATGGTCTGACTCGTGGTAGGTTAAACCGTAAATTTAAATAACTTTAGTATATATAATATGAAAAAGGCAAAGCCTCAAAGCGAGCTCGATTTTTCTTTTACCTTGAAATAGTTTAAAATAATTGTTCAAATTTATTTTACATTTTCCGTTTTAAAATTGTCATTCGATATTTTATAGGCCTACACTGCTTCCGTTTATTCTGGTTCCCTTTCCTATTATCATTTCCATATAAGTGCGCAAGTCACCAGTCTACGCTTCAGTTTTCAATCAGAATACCTCAGCTTTTATTGATATATTGTAATTCAAAAAGTTGCGATGTGTTAATTTGGTACGTCGGACGAAAGTTTTCAAAACCATCATATTTAGCAGGTACTCCCGTTACCGTAAAGCTCACTGTGCAAGCAGGCCCTTCGGGCCAGCTTTTCGAGCTCACTGTTAAACAATGTGTTGAAATGTATACTGAAACGAAGCTAAGATCACAAGCTTTTCATTGGTGTAATAAATTTTAAAATTGGACATTAAATCGCCTCTGACTAGTGGTTTAAAAATGGCTAAATTAGCATTGTTTTAGCATTAGAGATATTGATTTTACTCAAAGATAAGGGAAACAACTTGTATTTTTTCACTCGATATACTTCAGTTATTTACGTAGTTCATATATATACTTTCAATGGGTGTATAGTGATTGACAGATATATACCAATGCTGTCATTGTATGCAATTTCAACTTCTCCTTAACCATATATTAAATGCTCACTAAGTCTTATGTTTTTGTGTCATAAGCTAAGACAAATGTGCAGCCTCAAACAGGGTCTTGAATCTGGGACACTCAGAATGCTGTACCGTGGTTTTACCAACTGACCTATTTGGCTGCTTACACATTATCTCACCTGATAATTGAACATTTCAATACCATGACATACTCCTCCAATATCTTGAAATTCGTCCTCTAATTCCTAATGGGTACAGAGAACAATGTGAAATTGGACTCTTGAGCTTATTCTTTCACTGTCCCTGTTTGCAGCACCATATGTCATAGGATGGGAAAAATGTGCAGCCTAACTGGGAATTGAACTTGGGACCCTCAGACTACTGTATCACTGACTGAGCAATCCAGTTGCTCAGCTGACATAAAATCTTCCCTAATTGGCTAACAGTCCAATACTGTGATAGTTGGGCACATAGTATTACATGTATTACATGATGTAGATCCATTATTTGCAAGTGCAATTGTTATAATGCCTGTGTGTGGCAGTTAACCTTATGATTTAACCTTATAACAGGGCCTCCATGTTTACATGGTTAAGGTCACTGACTTTAAATCATTTACCCCTGACCTCATCTCTGTACGTATTGCCAGGGACCATGACTTTTTTCATTTTAGAAAGCTATCCACTAGGCTTATGGAAAGTTGGTAGTTCTACACAATCACAGGTGGTTGTTTGTTGTTGAAATAATGCAATATGAGCATCTGAATATTTTCTCCACTAGTGATCTTTATAGTGCTGTTGTAACTTCAAATCTAAGTATATGTTAGTGTTCATCCGTGCTGTTCTACAGAAATTAGAAACTTCGCATAAGCAATAGCGACAGGAGAATGTTTCTAATTTCTGTAGAACAGCACGGATGAATACTAACATATTTAGTGTCAAGCTTTATTTGGCCTCATTATTATTCACTTTATTACGTCACTATGCGGTTCTATGAAGTACTATGAAAAATATAAGTCGACTATGGATGGAATTCGATATAGTATCAACTTTTGTACTTCTATGAAAATTAACGCACAGAATTTTTAAGGAATACAGCGTTTTCATTGGATGACAAATAAAGTTGGACACTAAAGTAATTATATAATTCAAAATAGGACTACAAATGTAACTTACCATATAATATTTGTTTGATTCAGGGTAGGCGGTGTTATTCCATTTCATGCTCGAGACCTGCACAAAGCTCATATTGAAGATGTAGTGGAACAAGCTTTAAAGGAAGCTAATGTAACGGTGAAGGTAAAAATAAATTCATTCTTTGAACTTTTAATGCAAAATAATAAATTTCAAGATTCGAAAGATTATTTCAAGATTCACAAATTTTATTGGCTAAAAAGCCTAAAATTCATAAGATGACATTTTACTACATATATTCATTCCATATATCTTTTGTAATATCAATTCAAATTGTTCCATCAATGACAGCCCTACCAAATTTGATGACTAAACTTTCCTGAAATATAATAAATTTATCTACAGGTACTAAAAATGTTGAAAAATTGCTAAATTGCACATTACACTCTGACAAAAAAATCACCTTAAAATGAAGTAACAAAGAGTTCTTATTTCTTGCCATATAGTGTATATTACTCATTTAAGGACCTTGATGCTGTAGCTGTTACTGTGAAACCAGGAATCAGTATGTGCCTTAATGTTGGTCTTTCTTATGCCAAGAAACTAGTTCAAGAACACAGGTAAGAAAAGACACTTGACCCAACACATGCCATATTTGTGTATTGCTTTTTAGTTTTAAACAGTCCATTTAATGTTAAAGGAATTTTGATATTAGATTACAAATATTGAGGGGTCGTCTATGCACGTGTGGTTAAGGTCATTGACTTCAAACCAGTTGCCCCTCATGGCTGTGGGTTTGAATCCCAACAGGGACTTTGGATTCTTTTGTGTGAGGAAGCTATCCAGCTAGCTTACGGAACGTTGGTGGTTCTACTCTGGGGCCTGTTCGTGCCTGAAATAATTCACGGAAGAGCACCTGAGGTCTTCCTCCACCAATAAAGCTAGAACGTCGCTGTATGACCTATACTGTGTTGGTGTGATGTAAAACCCAATCAAATAAAAAACAAACAAATATTGAGTTTGGAACAAACTATTTACAGTGTATAGGGATTTCTGTGTCAGAATACAATAAATAAGCTGCCAAAAGTAAAGAGCCTAGTCAGACTACACAGATGTGAAGCTGATCACTTCAAGTTCTGTCAGGTTAAAGGGTAACAGATATGTCAGGTAAAAGGGTAACAGATATAGGATTGTTTGACATGTAACATAATGGAACAGTACATGTATTTGTTTAAATACTTTTTCATAGCCATTATTATTATCAGTATGATCTTCCTTCTGTCTTTTGTCACAGAGCCTTACTGTTCATAATGAAGTCTTTAAATTTTCACTGTCAATTGACTCACAAACGATGAGCTTATAAATTTATTTTCCTAGATTTTTTCCATAGTTTTCAGTTAAAATTACACATTTCAAAGCATTTTTACTTAAGTTTAAACTTTTTTTATTATTTTAGATCTTTTATAATACATACTTGATGCTTATTTGAGTCGACTTCCTTGGTGTCAAATGAAGAAACATGGTTGTGACCCAAGTACGGCTCAAACTCATGATGTCGAGGTTGAGAGGCAGACATCTTTACCACTAGACCACTGCTCCCCTATGTTAAAAGAACATAACATTGTAGTCATATATAGTTATAGATACAAAAATATACACAAAAATTTACTTACATATTTCTTCTATTTTTGAATTTTTCTATTTCAGGGTTCCAATGATTCCAATTCACCACATGGAAGCTCATGCCCTCACTGCGCGGATGATTGAACAGTATGTATCATATTACATTAGTCTCTCCCTTTACTTGTCGCCGAGTGGCTGTCCGGCAATATAATTATATTTGTTTTTGTCAGAATTTTATATTACACTAACTCTGTAAAGTTAATCATGATGACATTCCAGCTGTAATTATGGAAGAACACTTCAGGTGTCCCTTTTCACATTATTTCAGGCACAAAAAAATGAATACCTGAGTAGGTACACTGAACCTCCGTAAGTGAGCTGGATAGCTTTCCCCGATATGAAAGAATTTTAGGTCCCTGATGGGAATCGAAATAAAAGCCATCATTGAGGCCCAAACATATACATGTAGTAATGAGAGACAAGTAAATCGACAAATTTGACTTTTTTGGTACAACTGTAAACTATTTTTTCGCAAAAATAAAATAATTTTCATTCTTATAAAAGATAAACAAAGACAATGGAAATTCCTATGAAATGATGAAATGATTTTCATAAATTACATGTTTTTTCTTTCTGGGATATTGCCATATTTTTTTCGCATTTCACCAGGGCCATAATATTGCTTCTTTTTCAATTTGTCCTTTAGGATGTTGAATTTTAAAGTGATGCCATTTATGACTGAAAAAACTTTTCCAAAGT